CTCTCTCTCTCTACAAGTCCCATCTCTCTCTCTCTCTCTACAAGTCCCATCTCTCTCTCTCTCTCTCTACAAGTCCCATCTCTCTCTCTCTCTCTCTAAAATTCCCATCTCTCTCTCTATTTTGCTCTTCCTCTTTCACTCACTCACACAACAAACACTTTTTTCATTTGACAACTTCACATAAGATCAATACAATCCACACCTTCTCTGAAGCTTGCAGTTCCTCTACATTGGGTGGCAAGGGAATGTACGCTGTAGCAGCCACCTGAGAGCCCACCACCTGATGCATTTTTTGGCATGGCTGCTGCTGAGCTTGTTCAAGAGTCATCTTCCCCTCACCTGTAAAAAAAAAGTTGGCTCATTTAATTTCCTCTACACTTACAGAAAATACTATGGAATTGAGTGTTACAAAAATAAAGACTGTGTATATTCTTTCTACATTTTGAGATATCACTAAGTACATAGCTAAATGTAGAACATTGCCTTTGTAAGTAAACTGTTTAGTGACACTACATAGAACAATGATCAAATAGAACTAATGGTTATAGAGATTTACCAATGAATTTACTGCACCCTTGGGTCTACAACCAAGCTCATTTTGCTGGCTCAAAAGAAGTTACATAATTTTAATTCAGTAATATCCCCCCTGCCCCAAAATCACACACCACAATATCTTTAGACATCATACAATATTCTTTGCACTTAGGATACATCAGCTGAAAAGAACAACAAACTACTAATCCTAGTAAAAGGATACCTTAAATATGGATACTGACTATATACATGTAAGGATATAGTTGCCATGATCCCTAGATATCTAGCCTCCAAGCTAATGAATAACCATTATCCTTGCAACATGTATAGCATGAGGTGACCTAAGCATCCACTACAATTTTCCAGTAATTTACTAACTATTCTAAGCTTTATTTTTTCACCCCAAAAAACTGGGAGCTTTGCAATATAAAAAGCTATACATGAACTTAATACATGTTTACAGAACTATAACTGTTTTCGAGTGTAGAATAAATGTACATCAAACATGGTAAATGCTCAGTATAGATAATATAACAGCAAGATAATATGCTAAGGGCAACAATCTGGCAGGATGGACCTTGGGCTGGTTCCTTATTTGGCAATAAACTGCCCCAAGTTCAGGAAGCTCCATCTTGCCAGAATATTCATGCTTTTGGCTCTGACTTAGTCAAAGCCAAAAGCATAAGAGCCACAGCAGCACATATAGTCATACACTATCATAAGCAATTCACTTTTTAGCAAATTATGAATATGATATCCCTACAGATATAACTCTAGATTAAAACATTCAACCATAATCAAAGAACATTGTTAAGCTCGCATATAAAATCAGTATAGAAGTGATTATAAATCTTTCCTCCCCTCCTGAAAGAACATACACCATTATGAGCTCGATCACACAAATAGCCAAGTATGTCAAAAGTGGCAGATCTAGAAAAATAAAGCTTAGAGCTTTCATGCCATTGTTCACACCACATCAGTTTTGCTCCAAAACTTAGTATTCACTACAGATATGCTGTGCTGGTTTCAACTAATTTTCTTCAGTTTTTCATGCATGTCATACTTTAGGTGTAACATATCATCAGCAAAATATGACCAAAAGGGACATTCTATTTTAACTAGGCTCTCATTCATGATAAAAAGGACTGCCAACTACCTGGTTCTCATCACATATGCCATGTTAGCAGTGATTATCAATCTCACTTATCATAACATTTCTTTGGACACTATTCTACTACAGAATTGGTGGTACAGTTTCAGTTTCCTGAAGCCATATAGTACAATGTAAAATTTGCCTGTAATAGACAGAATGATAAAAAAAATAAGACACTTTTCATCTATGGTATTACCTTTGCAAGTTAAAATAAGAAAGTTGTGCAATACCTTATACTTTGGTATATATTTACAGCAAAATGTAATGGCACTTTAATAATCAAAAAGGAAAACTACGCTCACTAATACATGAAATAATTTGCATAAGTAGAAAATAATGTAAAAAGTGAAAATAGGCTTCAATAAATGCCACACAGTGAGTAAATCCATGGTAATCAAGTGGGGCAGAAATGTGGCGATTGGATGGGGAGTCTGGGGGTGAAGCCCTTGGTTTTTGGAAGATTTGTGGTTTATAAGGATTTATATGTGGATTTCCCCAGAATGGATGGATTAATAAGGACTTAATCTCAAAGGGGTGCAGTCACTTCGTAAACATTACCAATACTTTCATTTATATAATTTGCTATGGAAAATGACACAAGATTCATGCATATCATATTGCGGATAATTGAAAGATGGAATGGTGTTTGTTCCCGAGTGAGTCCCGAAAATCCACACCTAACCTTTCCTAGCTTCTATTTATTCCCCAGACAAGGGGGCAAACCCCCTGTACCCCCTTAATTATCACTTCATGTCAACTTATAGATAATGTGATATTAAGGACTCTGGATATATAAAGGTGTTGTGGACTAGTGCTATTTCTCAGTAAATATGAGGCTGCTGCAGCAGTACCTGTGTTGTTTTTTACTATTATTTAAATTTAACCAAAGGAATAATAATTGCAGATGGCTGTGTGACTATAAAATCATCAAGTTGGTTTAGACCACACTAACTAGCATGACACTGATTGGGATGCGGTTTGGGGGTAGATCCCTGGGTTTGGGAAATATGGTGATTGGTGGGGGGGCTGGGGGAAATCTCTGTGGTGCTTTGTGCATTTAGGATGGGGTTTTCTTTCATTCATTCTGGTTGGGGATTTTGGGTACAGTCCTGGGTAATTTTTTCTAATATGTCTGCATAAAGTATCTTGATGATTTTGGTATCGTTGGATTCCTCTCACTGTCTACTTTCTAAATATAAATAAATTGTTCTGTGAAAATCCCCCAAACCCCCACATTCTTGGCCTTGATAGCAGGGGAAGGCTTGAAAGCTACCAGGGAAATTGCTGGGTAAAATGTAAATATATACTGATTCAGTCACTATATTGTCTAATGCAGGGGGTGTGCCCCCCTGTGACCCCGCCATGGGGGGCTGCTGCCTCCCAACCCCTGCCTAGGAAAATAAAGAATCCTCCACATATTCACTGCTGGCGAGAGCGTATGACTGCCACGCGGGAGCGGCTTTGCCAAAGCTGTCCAACACTCTCCTGCTGTGAATATGTGAAGGATTCTTGATTTTCTTGGACAAAGGTTGGGGGTCGCAGGGGGCACTGTCTTGCATTAAGCAACATAATGACTGATTCTGTGTATACTTTTTTTCATTTTACCCCACAATTTCCCTGGTACCTTTCATGCCCTCCCCTGCTATCGGTGAGTAACAATACTGAAATATTCGCGACCCATTATGTAGATATATTAGAAAAAATTACCCATCCTGTAGTAAAATACCTTACAAAAGTTGAATTTCATCAAATGCTAGAAAAGCTAAATGAATAAAACATCAATAGGAACTGAGCAAGCTATCCTTTTTAATATTTTTTATTGTTTTTATAAATCATTTGTTATAACTACATTTCCCTACTTTTGCTGTTTCTATTACAATCATTACAATTTTGCATGGCAGGTACCGGGTACCCAAGTGCTACCACTTAGATGTCTCACTGTGTCAATGCAATAATATAAGTAAGATTCCTTTCCTCACACATAGAACCTGACATAAGGTTCCTCATACAAGGCTCTCCATATCATAAAACCCACTATACTCCATACAAGGGTCCTCATGCAGGGTTTCTCACCTCCCGTCAGCGTGTGCTTGTGACAGGCTGATATACATGCACTGGCGGCTTTTGAGACGGTGCAGCCCTTTCCCTGCACCGTCTTCAGAACAGCTGTTGACAAAGACATTTCGAGAAGGAAGTTTCTTGCAAATTGCACTAGGAAAGACAATCAGACTACGACACTGTCCTGCGTCAGAATGAGCTGGCAACTCGGCGGCCTCTTGCCATATCATGCTGCACCTCCCCTGCGTTGCCAACGATCACTTTACTGCTTCTCTGGAGTATGGCTCATTGAACATGTGTATTGTGTGCTTATATGTCTCTTACGGTTGTCATAGATCCGTAATTTGTACCTGAATATTTGGATAATATGAAGAGAAAATAATTTACATATAGTTTCTTGGAGATGTAATTCTAGCGCCTACACCGTATGTTCTTTTTTTTTTACGTTGTGACTTGTGAGATAGGGAATTATCTGAGGGTTTGTGTGCTACTATATACAAAATGAAAAGACATTTTTAGCATCGGTTCAATGAATAATGTATAATACAAGATACTGAGTCAAATCACTGGCTGCAATAGAAAATTCCCGGTATGTATTCACCGAAGCTACTTGTATACATTTGGACACCTGAAAACATATACGCGGGAACCTGCAAATGGAAATTCACCTGAACTGAACACAACTGAACTGAAATAATACTAAAGTCGTGCAACTGTATGCTTTGAATTTCTTTCGCGAACTTGCTGATTTCATTTTAAGGTTGGTGACGTGTAAGATATTTGTTAGTGACCGTATACAGTAAGGGGATACTTATATATAAAAACAGACAACTACTAACTCAAACAGCACGGAACTGACCCAAGCCAACTAGGCGCAATCACTCGTATGCACACGAAAACGAACGCAACCGCACATAAACACACAC